TATCTAACATTTACGATTAAACACATTTGTGCATTCTTTAGAAGAGAGAAACTTGCTCTGTCATACTGGGTCAGGCTACAAGGAAGTGGAGAGGAAAGTATCACAAACAGAATATTACAGGATTGCTGGGCCATATGCAAAGTTTCGCCAGGGGCAAGTGGGTTTGGCTGGACGAGTAAGAGAGAACGAGGGCATCTGGAGTGGAGACTATCAAGTTTGCCAAAGCGAGCACCATTTAGCAGTGTTCCCCCATGGCTTTCCCCAGAACAGCTAACCATAGATGTGAGTAATCAATAGAAAGGCAAAACAAGGGGCGGGGCGCGGGCATGAAGTGGGCATTACAAACGATACCTGAACGAAAGTACTAACAATTACCTCAGAATGTACACAGATGGACTAAGAAGCCAAAGAATAGTGGGGATAGGCGTGTATAATACCAGAACTCAAAAATGTCAATCTCAAAACGAGTGTTCACATAACTTATGCACTTATAGCGACGCGGAGAATAGCCAGCAATTATTGGGCTACCAATGGGGTTGAAGGGTCAGACCCTGATTAGGGGTGGTGATACTGAGGTGGGCTCTCNTCAAGCCAACTCCGGAGGTGGCGGTATGCACCTTAAAGTTGTTTGCAATCCGCGAAAAAACCGAGAGGAGGAGGAGGAGGAGGAGGAGGAGGAGGAGCCGCCGCCGCCGGACTTCAGGCGAGCTTTTTGAGACCTCCCCCGGCTGCGTTCGGCTATTCTCGTCTACTTTCGAGGCGAGCTGCAACGCGTCTCAAACAAGCCTAATGGGAATGGTTAGCGTATCATATGCACGCAAAATTGGACTTCTGCGTATCTATTGTACGCATTTCCAATGTGTAAAGTCGTGTCATTTGTACGCAGACTGAAGAGAGTGGGTTGAATAACTCTGTGTGAAATAAACTAGCATACTGTATTTCCGCTATTTTTCAGAGTAATTATTTTTAATGCATTAATAAAATAAAACTAGGATTACACAAATAAGATTTCATCTTTTAATTTGTATGTTTTAATGCCTTTTACAGAATAGTTTCCCTGTGTTTCCAGTCTTTATGCAATGCTAAGCCAAGCTAACTAGCTGCTGGCTTCAGCTACACACTGGTTGTAAAAAGATCCATCTTCTCTTTTAATTATTTATCATACAGATTCATGATGAAACAGATACACAAATAGAAAAAAAAATACTTACTCAAAGTGGCTCAGATACCGAAAGGCCTTCCGCTCCAACGCTGTTGCAATACACTAATAGTGTGTTCTGTGATTGTCAGCCTTAATAATCATTCACTTTTCTTTGTATTATGTTTGTTTCCTTAGAAAGAAACTCCATACGCAGCTTCTGGAGCACATGGAATGCTCGGAGTCTGATCATATCTGGGTTTCTGTTCTGTAACATTGTCCAGAGCCTAAAAAATTAGATCTACCTCGACTGTCAGAGACAAATGGAGGAACAGGCAGGAAGCACAAGCTGGACAGATACAGTATAAATATACTGTTACTTCCATTATTTGGAGTGTTTTATTCGTTAAGTATCAGTGGGATCTGAAAAGAGCTGAGGTTAATGCAATGAGAACGAAACAGCAAAGAATGTCATGTCTTCAATCCCTGTCTCTGATTTGAATTGGAATTTCCTGAAGATAGTTTTTATTAGATTACAATTTTCCTAATGAGAAAAAAAAAATAAAAGTTTTTTTTTTTAAAGTTACCTGGAATTTCTTTTTGTTCCAAGACTCTATCAGTTCCCTAATTTAAAAAGAGATATAAGAGAAATGTATAACACATAATAGGCTTGACGGCAACAAAAATAAAACACAATGTTAACGTTGGCTTATATAAAACTTTGTTCATTAATACTTTGAATGCATAAGGACAACTAGAAGGTTAACAATAAGTCCCCAGTAGCAACAGACTATGCATTTCTTTCCCCGACAGTTCATGTACTTAACCGCTGACCCCGGTGACTGTCTGCTCTTTTTCTTCCCCGTGCAGCTTGTACAGTACAGAACATTCTGGTATGTTGGCCTTTGAGAGGTCTGCACTCATCTGATGAATGATATCCTTTTGGACAAAAAGCAAATCACTCCTCATACCTTCAAAGCCTCAGTTATTGTTCATACCACTATCAACAGATGAACACTTTCTGTTGTCCAGCATGCCAATATTTCACACAATGTGTTCACCACTGGGAAGCCAACGCACATTGCATTCTTAATCATGATCCACATTCTTTACTTTATAACTTTTCCTTTGTTCCTTTCTTTGAAATGATTAAAAGTCAAATATGAAAAGAGAAAAGCATTTGCTTTTGTTTTGAAAAAACTATATTTCAATGGTGACAGGGTTGCATGAGGACATCTGACAAATTCCAAATAAATCTTTAAACAGATGTTGAGGAAAGACAAATAACTCGCTTGCGATGGCATGACTCAATGCTACATACAGTGAACCGGCGTGCAAGAATTTGTGTCCTCTGACCCCAAAGGTCAACAAAACCCTCACTGCTCATCAGCTCGGCCTGCTTCAGCCTCACTGAACAAAGGTTGAAGGTTGCAGAGATGGAATGTGTTGGATTGCAGATATTTGCTGCAAGAATCAGAAGTAAGAAATCTATAAATTACACCTTTTTAGACAATATGTGATTTAGCTTCAACTCAGACACAGAGAAGTGTAATGCTGGTCGATTACACAGTTTAATGCTTTTAGATGGCCATTGATGAGCTCTGGTTGCTAATGGAGCTGTTCTCTGACCCTCTTAAGTTTTAATTAGCCAATTTAGCAGCCCCGGGGCAGGACCCAGGCAGCTTGGCTATTGTTGATTAAGGTCATTGAGCACAAGGTCAAGGAGTAAGATGACTTGCTCATAATAGAAGAGCTAGTAAAATGAGCTGTTAAACTGTTTGTTTTGTGGGAGAGCCTCAAACTGTTTTATACGTTACAAAAAGTACAACATGTGCTTTTGTAGGTGTGATGTGTTTTTGATTACTTGGCTGCCTTTTTTGCAGACATCCTCTTGTCTTTTGGCTCCACTCTCACATGTTCAAATCCTACGTGTGTCTTTAGGATAAGGGCTGCAGTGTTCCCCCGTCAGAGGGAGATTCATTCTACCCCAGTGTAGTCCATTGTTTGTTTGAGTCATACCCAGACCACAACTCTTGTGAATCCATTTCCCAGCACAGGCATCTGGCTTGCTGGTAAAAAGATAATTTCTTCTGCATAAAACAGCCTTAGTAGATAGGGAAAAAATGTTGGACTGTTTATACCAAATGTGGATTTTATCACTGTTTGGCAAATTTTTTTCCCCCAGAATTCCTGCTGTTAGAATGCTTTAAATAGAAACTCTGACTTTACAACCATCTTAAAATCTCTAATATTACTTACAATAAATGACATTTACACTTCACAGCAGACCTTGACATTCACCCAATCACTTAGTTTCCTTATTTTTTCATTATGATGAAATAGTCATAATTAGGCAGGATTAAGGATGGAACAAATAATCTTGGCTTAAGGTTGTATGAAATATATCTAAAATGGTTAATCATATCCACTGGTCATACATGTCAGGCTTGAAATGAAAAAGGGGCCCTGTTATGCAGATTTTCAGGTTTCATATTGTATCTGTTGTGCTTCTACTGTGAAATGTACATGCTTTAAAGGGGACCTATCATGCAAAATGCACTAAATGTAAAAAAAAAAGGTCTTTATTTTTCTGATAGTTTCTGTGCTGCAGCACTTCTTTTCACCCTCTGTCTGAAACCCAGTCTGCTCTGATTGGTTAGCTAGCCGGCTCTGTTGTGATTGGCCAACCGTTTATAGATGTACCACCCCTTAGCCTCTATCTATCATGTGTTGGAGGGATACCTAATATAAGTGCAAGTGCTACATTGTGATGTCATAATTTTATGGAAGTAAACAAAGGACTACAAATGAGACGTTTCAAGCAAGGTGGGAGTGTGTGGAAGAGAAACTCCTTCTGGTGTGAACTCTGGGATTTTAGCCTTTTCAGACCATTTACATGCAAACAAACCTATATAACACACTACAGGAAAGGGAAGGGGGGAAAGCAGAAGGAGAGCAGTGTCCAAACATCTATTTTGGATATGATTGTTCTATCATATTTATCTATCTGTGGGAGGCTGTGGCTCAGTGGATAGCATGCTGGACTTGGAATTAGGAGATAGCAAGTTCGGGTCCCACTGCAGTCAGCATGTCGTTGTGTCCCTGGGCAAGACACTTCACCCCAAATTGCTCCTGTGGGGATTGTCCACAGTATTGAGTATGTAAGTCGCTTTGGATAAAAGCGTCTAACAAATGACATGTAATGTAATCTATCTCTGAGCTACTGCAGTTATGAATATGTTTCAAGAGCTGAAGCCCAAATGTATTGTTTCCTATTGCTATAGCTGCTGATTGGCTGTCAGAGTGTTGAGGTAATGCTCCTTTACCCTCATCTGCTCTACTAGTCGATGCAAACAGATGAGATAATCTTCCCTTCTTGTTGAGAAATATAATGAAGAATTGATTATGTACATGTGTGCTTGTCTGCGTTCTGCATCCACATGTTGGCTAGAGTCTAATGTGTGAGTGTTTGTTTGAGTTTGTGAGCAGAGTGTGGATTCACTTTCTTGATATGTGCCTCATTAATGTGTAAACAGTTGACTCACCTTGACTCGCACTGGCAGGAACCTCCAGTCCCGCTGCTTATTAAACAAAGTTATAGAGCAGACTTCAGGCCAGAGAGCTTTATGTTTTTTTCCGATATATGGCAGGTATGGAAAATCAATAATTTCTACGAGGCACAGATTCTGGGTCTTAACCTCAGAGGTGCTAGTCTACTTTAAGGAAGCAGGTGCGCTGTTATTCAACTTGGTCCTCTTAATGGAGTCGTAAAAGAAAGAGTAATATATGACACAGTTCCTGGGAAATATCCTAAAGAGTAAAAGCTGAACGTGATTTTTTTTTTTTTCTCTTTCTCTCCTAGCTGCTAACTGGGACCATGGACGGAAAGCTGAGATTGTTTCAGTCCAGCAGTGCGGCCCGTCTGTCTCGTGACACCAGTGCTGTGCATAGCGTCCCTCACTAGACTGGGTAGTCCATGCAGGTTTCATTAAAGCAGTTCCAGCCCCCTGGCTTGGATTTGAGTGGGAATGGAAGAAATATGTGTTTGTTTTTAGTTTTCAGTTTAATTGAGATTGAAATGGAAACAATAGGTTTTTATTTTTCTAGTTGTATTTTCCTATTGTGTTCTTTCACTTCTGTGCTCGAAAATTGGAGCCACCCATTTTAGCTCATCTTGGTAAAATCCAGTATGTACATAACTACACTGCTTTTCTTTCTATTACTGAGATTCAAATATATCAATGCTTTTTTCTGAATATCACATGATTTTTACAAGATATAATGTGCTCTCAATTACAGAAAAAAACTAAACTCTATTTGACTAAAACCTTTAGCTTTAACAACTATTTCCCATCTGTCTCTTCACATTAGGATAGTCAAGTATCAGGTTGTTTAAGTTTAGTATGTGCAACAGATTTCCTTCCATATAACTGGATGAGCGCACTACTTAGCAGATCAGCACACTATGCTATGACATCAACTGGGTGCAACCTCTTTGGCTGCCAAACACACAGATGCTACTACTGTTCATACTGACACACCCGTCCGCATTGTTTGAGCTTTACATTTACTCTCCACAGTTGCAAAACAAAATGTCGGCTCGGCTACAAATGACATTTACTATTCAAATCTTCTGGAGCAAAATAAATTGAATATCTTTTGGGAATCTTTTTATTTTTTAAAGTACACATTGTTGGGAATATTTATATAAAGTTTAAATATACCCTTACATCATTCATACATGTCTGTTGAAATTATTTATTTTATTGTCTGTTTTCTGCTAGGTAAGAATGCGGCTGTGTTACTGCGTGTCTGTTTGTTTTGCCAATATAAGGTGTTCCTCAAGGTTCTACTTACAGTAAGGACCCTTTGCAATTTTCGTTTAATTTATGATCTCCTGAAGATTTTATATGAATATAACTTATGATCATACTTATATATATATATATATATATATATATACTTCAATGTATTTATTACAGGGATGCCTTACTCATTCCATCATCAAGATAGGGTGCATCTCCAGAAAGTAAACAAAGTTGTAGTACACAAGATGGTGGGTACAGCTGCTTTGTATGTGCTTGTTTTGGAACCTTCTTTAGGTTTAATATTAAATGTTTACCTTCTCAGTTTCAGAAGTATAACCACATGGTTAATAAGTAATTCATATATCGTGGGGAAATGTCAGTGGCATTCACTTTGTTATCTTAAATGTTCTGGGATTGGGGCACGATTTTCACTTTTCCAAGCCCAGAAAAAAAACTCAAGTATGCTGCCATTGTTGCTGCCGACAAGTTCTAACCCTCAGCTGTCTTGAGAGAAGCTAAAGGAAAACTCTACCTTTCTGCAATGGAATGAAATTTCGAGCGTCACTCATCCCCAGTCCATTAGGAAAAGATACTGAATTTGATGCATTATCTGACGCTGATGCTGATGATGGAAAGATAAATCCACTGATAGCCCACCTTTTCTTAACTCCTTCAGACAGAGGCAAACGTTCAGAACACTGCTCTTCTCTGTCTTGTCCTCTGTCCAAAATTCTGCATTTGATTTACTCTGTCTTTTTAAGACTGTTTGCTTTAATTATTACCAAACCAGGCTGCCTGAAAGGATTGTTCTCCGTGCACCACCAGCCTCAGCTCAGTCAGATTATTTATAGCTTTGAAGTTGCACAATTTCAGATGCCAGGTTTCCTATCACAAAAACTGATGTTATACATTAAAGAAAGCAGGGCTGAAGCTGCATTGGATTTATGGGGTGATAGCTATCTTTGGTCATACACAACATTATACACGTACATTTCTGAACGTTTTTTTTATGCCACAAAGACAGGTATGTGCTGGCGAGTGTGAGTCGGACCTGTCATGGTGAGCTTTAGTGTTCCTGCAAGCAGAAGAGACTTTCTTCTGGAACAAAACATAATAAATTGTCATAAGATAAAATGTATGTAGCTGTGTTCTTTCTCCATTTTAATGTGCTGGAATGTGTGTTTGTGTGTGTGGGTGTATTATGGAGTGAGTATCTTCTTCTCTTGGATGAATTTACCTGCTAGGCTACACTAAGATTCAGTGATCACATTTTTACAAACAAAAGTGATATATCAGAGTTTGTGCATTTTTGTTGTCTGTGTGAGGTCGGGTTTGGTACACTGGTCAACTCCCTGCATTGATCTCACCAGTTAAGAATGATGTGTTTATACTTGCAAATAATAAGATTTCAAGGAAAGCCACACCCGTACGTAATAACACAATCTGGTCCAAAGTTTTATCCCTCACAATTTGTCATTCAATTTGACTGAGAAGAACTACTAGTACTAGGAAATGTTGAAAGCCCCGAACAGAGCAGAGTGTTAGTCTGGGGAAGATACAGAGCAGAACTCAGAACTTGTTCTTCATTTTTCATCACATAATCATCTTAAGTCTGTGAATGTCTCTCACATTGCATGTAGAGTTTTTTTTTGTGGTTCACTGACTCTCTGGCCTGTAGCTCAGAGCTTTGAATGCTTCACTTTCCCTAATGAGTTGTGCATACTGTATAAAGAAACCAAAGATATACATCATAAGGCATTTGCATTTTAATGATCCCCCAAAGATGAGATCCTGATGATCTCTGCTTCTTTGTTTTCATGAACTCAGTGTAACTCATAGTCAAGGGAGATGAATATTTGTGCACATGTCGAAAAACTGCTGGCAGAAAGCTGTGAGTCATGCAAGTGTTACGCAAAGCTTTTCTAAATACGATGTAATGAACATGTGAATTATTTAAAAGAAAAAAGTAGCCAGATTGATGGATATTAAGTGATGATCTTTGACATGAGAATGTTTTATTGTTTTTTTTTTTGTAATGACTGGTATAACATTACAGCGAATCAGCTTATATACGCGCCCAACTTGATGAGAGCTTTCACATGCTGTGCTAAACAGCTGGTGTGAACTAATGCAGGAACCAGACTACATGACATCAGCGCTATAATGGAAAGACGTATAGTTTCAGGGAACAAAAATGTGCAACAATTGCTGCTGTAGTGTTTTATAGTGGAAGTCAACAGGGTCAACATCTGGGACACCTCAGAATGTCTGAGCAGTTTTTATGACTATGGTACAGGATTGATTTTTGATTTCTTTTTGACATTTTACGTAAAGCTGGCACGCACAACTATAAACTAGAAGAGGCAACTTGGGTATAATGCTGTTGATCCTGTCAGATAGACTGTGTTTCCCTTATTGATCACTAAATTCTGCTACTTTCGCTTCATTTCAGATGATAAAATTCTTATTTTGTTCAAATTAGGTGCATTTTGACCAAATAAAAGATGTATTCCTAGTAATACATGTATTATTTGTATTATAATAACATACATAATACTCTGATAGGATTCGTTCAGCATAAAACGTTGACTTTGATGAATAAATCAAAAGAAAAAATATAGCAATACAAATAGCTGTGCAAAACCTCCTGGCAGTACTCGAAGCACATAGTTGTTCCTCATTTATTTGAAGTTTTCATTTTCAATAGTAACATGTTACATGTCTGCATGTGAAACATTTTCCTTTTTACCATACATGTGTTCATGTTACTGTTCATATACTAGTATTAGTCGACCTGTGTTTTTCCTTATGTGGTCAACGAATTACAGTCATATTTCAGGCTTAACTGATACAGCACATGTCCCAGTGTTCACTAACTCTTACCATCATTTTTTCTGACTGTATACAAATTAACACTAATGGTTGAACATGGATGGCAAACTGTTGTTGTTTCTAGTAAATAGTGGTGAAATATCCAGATGGAGCCGCACAGGAAGAGTTTGACAGGAGTTTCAAAGTCTTACTTGACTCTTTTTCTGGGCCTCTGTGTGCAGACAACAACGGAAATACAGATTAGCTGCAGATGGTGTCATCCAGGGTACAAGGCATAAACATTGAGTGCTTAACACTTAGATAAATCAACATAAGACCCTCATAGAGTGAGCAGGAGAAAATGGGGAAACCAGCAGCGCGTAACACAAGGTGCCAAAACGCAGGGCAGGAGTGTGGGCCAGAAACCCCGTCGAGTTTTTGAAATCTACCCGAATAACTCTTTCAACAACAATGTTGATCTTTAAGAGAGGAAAAAACATTAATCAGGTCGCTCATTAATTTCTGATTCTCTATTATTCTTCTAGAGCAAAACCCATCCAAGTCATATTTAAACAAATAATACATGATGAGATTGTTTGCAGCATAAAAGCTTATTCCAAGTTTTAATCGCAGAGTCTTTCTTCAGGGTCTTGATAAGGTAAAGACGTTTAGTCGGCTCCGTTTAGCCAAAGTGGTGAGATGAGATGATATTTTGGCATCTCAGTTCAAACCATCAAGTATCTGCGCATTTATCAGATTCATTAACTCTCCCCATCACCCTAAACTTTAACCCTGCTCTGACACAGAGATAGCGTTTCAACATTAGCCTTTGCCATTAGCAAATTCCTTTGTTTTTATGACTGAATATGTTTTCTCAAAGAGGCAATTTTATGATTTCCTCTCTAATCATGTTTTACCATCCTGGAGAATTATCATCACATGTGGTCGAGACTCAGTTAAGTGTATGATGTTATTGCTACACATGTTTTTGTGTGTAACTTGTTAATTTTACTTCTCTATTAAAATGTTCAAGCAAAACAATTAGAAAAATTGAAAGGAATGATGAAAAACATCAAGGTGAGCAGCAAAACAAGCCCAAATATATCATCTGTTAATTTGTACTTGTACCTATAGTTTTTAGGTTAGGTGGTTGCTAACCAACCATGGCCATCACCCGCCTGACTTAAATATGAGTGACTTGACTTTACTCTATTTCATATAATGAAATGACCTCCAACCAAGCAGCAGGGGAAATGTCCAAATAAAATGTGTTTGCTTAAGCACTCAACCCGCTGGCTTTTGCGGGGACGTAGACAAAAGTTATTTCTACACCGTGGCCGCATCACACTCACTCACCCTGAGTGCTTAAAACTCTGTGTACCGACCAATGCAGAGTGCCACAAAACCTGGAGTTAATAATGAGCAGGAAATTCTCCTCTGGAACATTTGGTACTCTTCAACATATCATTCCTGCTAATTGCACAGTGTTTCTTCTCATCCCACAATATCTACGACCCAGGTGCTTCAGAACAGTGCCAACAGAAGAGTCTTGTTCCATTTAGTTCCATAATGAATATTTTTCGTCTTGTCAACCAATTAATCGATCCTTAGAACATGTGGGTATTTTATGATTAGTGCCTGAATAAAGGCTATATGGCTTGTAGATGAACAAGTACCAATGGTTATAATGTCTCTTAAATGTGGAGGGTCAACCGACTTTATTGGATAGAGGTAAAACAAGCTAAAAATACATTCATAAACCTAAAGCCAGAATATTAAATGTAATCTATTGGCCTCAGAGCGGAGGCATATTGATATATGGTTTTCTGCATAATGTGGAGAGGAGATCTGCTTCAGCAATTCTCATTCTACACCTCAGGGGAAACTGTGTTTGTTCCTGCACAAAAAAGTCAAGCTTCTGCCATAGTTTCGGAGAGCGCACGCTCATGAACTGTGAACTCGCCGGAGCCTCGCAGCGGGGCTACTGCGGAGCGCATAAAGCAGACTCTTCACGCAAACGAAGGATCACTTCTTCTTCAGGGCAGGGAAGGTTACGTAGTACGCAGGCTACTGTCCCGCAGCTGCTGCCTCTATGTTGAACTCCGGTAATGCACATTACTCACGAGACGTTTTTAAAAAATGCACTGCTTTAAGTAAAACA